CGTCGGCGCACGGAAACATTTCTAGGCAATCTAGTCGAAGTATAGGTGCCACAGCCCTCAGCTTTGGCTCCTAGGAATCCAATCAATAAATATTACAATGGAACCCCTAGAGAAGTAGGGGAGCGTATCCTCCTTTCTCTCTCTTTCTTTCTCTCTCTCTTCTGTGCTCCCTCTATCTCCCGTCGGTATCTCTTTCTCTCTCACTCTCTCGATCCTCCTCTATCCGTCGACGACGTCGTCGTCGCCGCCGACGCCGCCGCCGCGGCGGTGGAAAAAGGATCTGTCCTACGTCGCGCTCTCACAGTCGTCGCGCGTTCCTCGTCCTCGTTCGCTTCGTCCTCGACTACGTCCGCGAAACTTTGCTCCTCTCTCTCTCTTCTTCTTCTCTCTCACTCTCTCTCACTCTCAGCCCGTCTCTCCCTCGCTCCGTACCTCGCTTTTTCCTTCGGTTTGCCCTCCTCTTTTTCTCTCTGTCTTTCTCTCCACGGCCCCACCGCCCTTTTCGCCCGTTTCCTCGCTCTCTCGTCCCCTCGTCCTTCCTAAGCCCGCACCAACTCCCATTCGGCCCACCCCCCTTCGTCCCTCTCATCCAACGGCGTTTACATTTTACTTTTCTAGTAGCGAATTAAAACCGCGTTCATGCGCAGCCCGCGGAAGGGCGTAATGATTTTTTGAGGGGCGAATCGAGTGGGGTCGCCTACAGCACCGGCAGAGGGGGTAGTAGCTGCGGGCGCGAGCTTAGCAGGAGCAGGATGGCAGGAGGGATCGCGAGACAGGCCGGCTGCCGAATAGATGGATGGCTAGACTATCTAGTCGACGAGGAAAGAGAGAGAGAGAGAGAGAGAGAGAGAGAGAGAGAGTAGCGTTGTTGCTCGTTAAAATATCACATACCACGGTGTATCGTACAATAGCCGAACGATTACCACGGGCAATTCGAGATGGATGTCTCTCGTTCGATCGCGTAGAACGACGATCATCGTCGTCGGACAGAATGGTTTCTCGAAGCAGCTTTTATCCGACGAACGGTTAGGCGAATTTCGACTCGTCCCGGAAACTGCGGCCACGACCGCAATACGCCGATGACACGATGACTATGACGAAGACGAGAGGACGAGAAACGTTGGTAACGACGACATCGACGACGACGGTGAGGATATTGGACAAGTCGGAACCGGATAGTCGGGACGACGGTGGTCTATCCGAGATAATCCAGAGTTGCCGAGGCGCGCGAATCGGAGTAGTAGGCAGTGGTGGCGCCTTTAAAATTCCAGCTCCAGCGCTTTTAATTGGAAGTCGTTAGCTTTGCGCATTTTCGTCTCGTGGGCTAACGGGCGAAGCGGGGTGGGCCCGTGGAAGAGAGACGGGCGGCGAGAGCGGGTCGGAGGGAGAGAAAGGGAGCGGGGCGGGATTGCGAAGGAGTGAGCGAGAGAGAGAGGAGTGGCGAGAAGAAGAGAAGAGAAAAGAGGTGGGCTGGGCAAGGGTATAGCGGGGTGAAAGAGGAGGCACGGCCGATGCGGCCACAGGCATAAAGCTCCCCACCATCGTGGCATCGGGCTCTCTTTTCTCCGTTACTCTCTCCTCTCTCCCTCTCTTTCTCTCTCTCTGCGTACGCACTATTTTTTAGTCCGCACTTATTACGACAGATGTCTCATGCTCCGATAAAGAATAACGGCGGCCGGCGGGCGCCGTTCCCCCCCGCGTGCTAGTCCTAACCAGACTCGGGGAGCTGCAGCCGTACTCTCGGTGCTTCTCGGCTCGTGGTGTCGCCGTGACACGACACGACGCGACACGACGCAACACCACGCGACACGACAGGACGCGACGCGACGACACGACACGTTACGTTGCCTTCCCTTCCGTTCCGTTTCGTTCTGTTCCGTTCCGTTACGTTACGTTACGTTACGTTACGTTACGTTACGCACACCTTACGTTTTTTTTTCTCTCTCTCTCGCTCTCTCTCTTTGTCACTCCACCCTCGCACGCGAGGGCTCCACCTCCCTCTACGAACAGCACGCTCGCGGAACGTGTTGCGCCGCCGTGACAGTGACTTTGTTCCTCGACGTGTCAACGGTTGGTGTGTCTCCGCGATCATCCGTGATCATCCGCGAATCCACGCGCGCGAGATACACTGACGACGCTC